CACTCCCCCAAGAGTCTTGTTCTGTGGGCCTGCAGGGGTCCGGTCTGGGAGTCTGTATTTTTCACAAGCTCCCTAGATCATCCCAACACCCGGAGATTCCTGAACCACCCTTGTTGAGGGCCTTGGGGTCACTGGAAATTCCCCCAAGGTTGATGGGATCAGATGAAGGTCAGGTATGTTGTGTGGCCAAACACACGCAGAGCCACGATTCAGGAGGAGCCCTGCTCGCCAAGGCAGCTGGAGTGACCAGGTGACCGGCACAGTGACAAGCACATATCCAAATGACAGGGGACGCTGCTCTGAGCAGGACCCAGGCACTCGGTACAGGCAGCCGCCAGAGCAGGAAGCACCCCCAGAGGACTGGGGCGTCCCTGGAAGACCACATGGGCGTGCCGCCCCCTGGCTCCTGCTGCAGGCGGGGACAGGGGCTCCAGCAGCTTCCTCCCCGGCCTGCCAACTCCACCCCACTCTCCCAGCTCCTCTGGCAAACGGCAAATGCACCAGGCTGCAACCTGGTGGCTCGTGCGTAACAGGGCTCTTCTCAGTTTCCTAAAAAATTACTTGCCTTGAGATTTGGCTCTTCTGAGGGATTGGACGTTCAGTAGTCAGATAGATCATGGATCATTCGTACGGGATTGTGTATCTGCATTTTTGGGGTCATGTTCTAAATTCCAGGCTGACAAAGTAAAAAAAAAGATCGAAGTCAGCCATTGTGGCCCCTTTCTAGGGGAAGTCATGGGGGGCTGACCCTGTGGTCTCCAGGGTTCGTCCTGGGGGTAAGTGTTCCAGGGGTCTCACTGCTAAGTGGGACACATCCATCCGTGAAGTCTAATTTTCTCCACCTCCTCCCAAAGGGTCCTGCTTTCAAATACTAGCTCTTTAAAGTTAGAACTATAATCAGAACTCTGGGCTGGTTTAATGATGCTCCATGGCTGGAACACAACAAAAGTGTTTATTCCTGGATTTCCTTTAAAATCAATTTTTGAACTCCTGAGGGCAGCTGTATTTAAATCCTTCTATATGAGCAGCAAACCCGGGCATGCCTCTGTAATGAAACTATTTCCTGCTCAAGACAAATTATTTAACTGACAACATGGCTGTTTTTATCGAACAGAAAAATCCTAGACTCTCTTTAAAAATTATTTTGTCAGTATTCCCATATAATTTCAATGCTTGCATGCACCTTACTCTCATTTTTTTTTAGGGGGAAAAGTTCTCAGGCTTTGAAATGCTAGCTGAGCTTCTCCCCACAAACAAGTGCGTGTTTCCAGTTTCCAGGTGGCCATTAAGGAACAGGGCTGCCTTGGGAAAACACAGCCTTTTCTACCAGTATAGTGACTCATGATGATTGACTTAAAGTAATTCATTGTCTAGCATGATCTTTTCTGTTATCGTTTGACCGATTCTGATAGTTCAGGCCTCAGGATGTAATTATAGTAACTATCAGGATGAGTCTTTTAATCAGCGACCTTTGGACTCATATACAAACTGTCATATTTCATTAGCAGGAAGTGACAGCAACACACTGTTTCAGCTCCTTGCTTGCTCCTATGGGGAATATTGCACCACGAGAGCTATTTGTAGCCTTCCTATATGGTCTCCTGTGGCTGGCTTCCAGCCATGGTGGCTCAGTTAAGAGGGTTTTTTTTGTTTTGTTTTACCAAATTTTTGGTCCCTGTGAGCACAGTTGAGTGTCCCATGCAGGGCTCTCTCTGCAAATGCACAGAGGAATCAGCATGTGCGTCTTTGGAAATCCTAAACTGTGCAAGCTTGTAATACAAGGATTTATTGAAACAAAGCTCCTAATCATAGCCGTGCCTTGGAAATGATACAGAAGTTACTAAAGTAGCATCATAAACTAGGCTGCCACTTAAAATCCGGGTTTTGTCTGATACATTCAATTAAAAATCAACTGCCATAAGGAGATGGGGTCATGTGGAAACGTTTAGTCGATTATTTGAGGCTTTGACTGGACGTGTTTAATAGCACTACCCATTAACGCTGGATTGTCATAGAGACTTCGTTCACGGGGGCTGTTCAGTAAGCTTCTCAATAGTTATCAAAAGGAGTTAACATTTCTAAGGGAAACAACATCTGGGAAAGGAGAGTTTCTTGCCATTTTCAAAAGGTGTGCACTTTGTAATATGAACTGCTCCCCGCTCCCAAGCCTTTCACTGACTGACCTCGAACAATAAATAGCATCCGTCAGGCCTTTATACAGTAACGCTGTTGTCAAACAATGTTGTAATCTAAACACCCTTCCCCCAAAACAGAGACGTTAAATTGTGCAAGAGGTGTACATTCCAGAACAGTTTCCTGCTGGATCTCAAAACCATTGTAAAGCGTTGTAAAACGCAGAGCGGAACAAGGTGTCCTCCCACGCGGGTTTTGCAAACGCCCTTCTTAGCCACCTCGAAGGCAAGAAATCCTCCCGCTTCTCTTGGAGACAGACCTGCTTTTGGTTCATCTTTCTGTACCGGACAAAATCGATCCAACTAACCACGGAGACTTTGTTATACCTCCGTGTTCTTATCAGTCTCCAATAGCCGACCTGTCCCGATGTTGGAAAAGAAAGAAATGCCTGCCCTCTTGTGGGTACGATTGTCCTTGCTCCTGTCACGGAAATCCAATGCACTCATCGTGCACTTGAGGACCAAATGAGTTTCTCCTTTTGTCCGGGTGTCGGTCTCGGGGCGGGGGAGTCTGGGCACATAGCTGGATCAAAGCTGAGCAGGCGCATTTAGCCCTATGTAATACCTCATCCGGGCGTGCTGGTGCAAAGCACTGCAAATGACCTACAAGATCTTGTTGAAGTGTTTGTGATGGTGCTCAGATACAAACTGGGCTTGCATTTTCGACCGTGTTTCTTTTTAAGTTAAAAAAATTTAATTGTAATAACATACACAGTAAAAAATGTACTCTTTTAACCATTTCTATGTATGCATTCCTGTAGTGTTGAGTTCCTAACATTGTTTTGCGAGTGGTTCCAGATCTCTGTCTTGCAAAACCGCAGCTCTACCCCCATTAAACACTGACTCCCCATTCCCTCCCGCCAGCCCCTGGTAACCACCATGCTACTTGCTGTCGCTATGAATTGATGATTCTAACTACTACATGTAAGTGGAAACATATGGTATTTGCCCTTTGGGTCTGGCTTACCTCACTGAGCATCACGTCCTTAATGTTCATCCCCGTTGTAGCCTGGGCCAGAGTTTCCTTCAAGGCTGAATTATGTTCTACCATATGGATAGTGCACGTTTTATTTATCTCCTCATCCACTGATGGACATTTGGGTTGCTTCCACCTTTTGGCTATTGTGAATAATGCTGCTGCACCCCTGGGTGTACAAGTCTCTCTCTGAGAACCTGCTTTCAGTTCTTACGGGTATATAACCAGATTGCTGGATCATACGGTGATTCGATTCTTAATTTTTTGATGGACGCCACTGTTCTTCACAGTGGCCGCACCATTTTCCAGTCCTACCCACAGTGCACAAGGCTCCAATTTCTCCACATCCTTACCAGGCAAAGGGGACATTTTTTAGAACCATCATTCACAGAAAACAAAGATAGCAATTTAAGTCATTTCATTTTATTGAGTTATGCAAAACAGCTTTAAACAACAAATAAGGTGTTACAGAAAGTCAAAGTGTCACAATAGCACACAATAGAGAGTTTAAGCCTCATCAGGTGAACTCAATTAATTTACTCTGATGAAAAGAATAAATGCCCTTCCAGCTGGAGAGTGCCTCTACGTGCTCACTTTATACAGGGCTTTTGGACTTTGAAGATCAACAGATCAGCATTTTAAGAATTTGAGTTTAGTTAACCGGATGGTGGGGTGGGGGGGAGTCCTTACACAATGCACCTGTGTAACAAATCATCGTGATGCTCGCTTTTAATATCTCACAACTTTATTTGCTAATTATATCTCAATAAAGGCGAAAAAATGGAATTTGGGACCTATGGATGATTTTAAACTAGGGGGAGAGAAGTTCAGAGCAAACACAGCTGCCGACTAAGAAGGAAAGTATGAAAAATATATCATTATAAAGATGGGTACTAGTGAATTTTAAGTACCAAAGAGGCATTTCGCATGTTGTTCGAAGCTGAGAAAAGTCTCTTCAACTGGCAAAGGAGAAATACTCACCAATTACAGGGCATGACATGTGAAGTACAGTTTCTTCACAAATACACATTTCATTATCAGTACACATTTCATTACGTTTCTCCTCACTCTGCCACTTATTTAAAAAAGTTAACAACAAAGTTTTCGCAAAAGGGTGATGAACTATATCCTAGTAGGTGACAATGGACTGTCACCAGGGAAATTTCATAACTGCCAGAAAATATAATTTAGGAAGAATACAAACTCTAAAAGTGAACCTTGCTCGTAGACCAAAGTAAAATAATTACGCATGACCGTCTAATCTAGAGGTTTCCATCTTCTACTCAGCTTTTTTTCCCCCACAATATTAAGATCTTTTTTGTTGAATTTAGAACTAATTAAGAGTATTATGGTAGCTTTAAATTTTATGGAAAATTCATTTGTATTAAAAAAGGATATAAAATTAGGTTTTCAGGTTTAAAAAATCATATTAGAAATATAAAGGGTGTGTACAATTTAACATAAAGTATCTCAGCTTTGGCTGTTGGCTGAAGCACTAAATAGTCTGTACTTACAGCTGAGATAACTAGTGTCCCCTCCCAAATCACTGCCCATTCATTGCAGGCCACCCTACCAGTATCAGGTGGATGAATTCATAGGTTAGAGGTTTTATCCTCCCAATTCAAGATCCGGGCCTTTTATAAAATAGTTGTCATGCTTTTTGAACCATCCAGTGGAAAAAAAAATAGGCAAACAATTCCTAGTACTAACCCCAAACTTTGGAAAAATCGAGACCCTCCACTGTCATGAACTTAGTTGTTTCAAAGAAGACGCTACAAACTTCTAACTTGAAGAGTTAACCGCTGCAAACAGGAACTCCGAATCTCTGTCGCTTAGCCATCACAGGTCACTTCTTCAGCCACGACGCCTTCGTAGGGGACAGGAACCACCTCTCCCGGGCACTGCTCCAGCCTCACGGCGGGCACCTCCTTAGCGGCAGCTTCTTGGGGAAAAGGCACAGGGTTTAGGCAAATTTAAAATAAAGTCAAGAAAACAGTGCACGTACCTTTTGGAAATAATCCCTTGATGTTTAACATAGCAAACATTCTAGAAAATGATTTTTTTCCATTTATAAGACACTCATGTAAGTATTTCTGATGGCACCTATGTGCTTCAGGGGGTTCTGAATCTTGGTCCCCTAAGCTTTTAGGGCCGGATGATTCTCTGCTGGGGGGCTGTCCTGTGTGTTGTACAGTATTTGGAGCATCCCCTGGTCTCTACCCACCGGAAGCCAGAAGAATGCCACTCCTCACTTGTGACACCAACCATGTTTCCAGGCACTGCCATATGTTTGCTGGGAAGCAGGCCCGCCCCTGGCTGAGAACCCGTGCTCTACGCTGAACGCAGGCCCTGCAGAACTCGACAGTGGCTGAGCCGCTCACCTGTCTTGTTTCGGAGCTCAGGGAATGACGTCTCCGGAATGACAAGACCAGCTGCTCACAGGGCATTTGTCCCTATTGCCAGGGAGCCCATGCAGAGTCAGTTCGGGGTCACGCATTGTGCTGGGCACCCACTGTGAGCCACGCCTGGATCCATAACCATCCCCGCCCACCCTCCAGCAGATTCTCGCCAGCATGACATTGGGAGCTTAAAAACAGATCGCTGTAAATCCAATGATATTCATCCCTCTACCCATTTCCCAAATCACTCCCCAAGAACACCCACGCAACCTCACTGCTTGCCCGTGAGAAGGGCAGACAAAGAGCCCACACTCACCAGAGCTTCACCTCCTGTGGGTTCAAGGTTGTTTGAAGACAGGTTTGCTTGTGGTTTCCGGAAGCATTTTGCGGGGAGTGCGGGGAGAGCACTAAGACCCGGGTCGTGCATATGCAAGGAACTCTGATTTGTAGAGACCTACCCCGAAACGCTGGGTGACCTACAGCTGACCCACCAGCACAGCAAAGTAGAAGCCAGACCATTATCTGGATAAAACAGGTTAAAAACCCCTGAAATGCAAATTAAGTATTTTTTGCTCGTATAAGCCGAGTTACTTGTTTCCATTCATATTTGCTTAGGGTGCGACAGCTGACCATCCAAAATATGAGACATGTTTTAAAACACCCAATCTTATCACTGTCCGTCTTTAAACCTACAAGGACTTTCCCATTCCTGCCCTTCTGGAAGGCAAGCATTCGGGGCAGGCAGCATTCCGCATGCCCTTCATGACCTGGTCCAAGTGATGTTCCTGTTTCAAACACCAGTGTAAGGCCGAGCGGGAGAGGGTGTCAACGCGGACCCACCTCTTATCCCTTTGATTTTGTT